AGCCGGGTCCACCAAAGCCCTTTCCCCCCGTTTGAAAATATGAAATGCTCCTTCGCCTAACATTTGTAGGAGCAAAAACGCTTTGATGGAAAGGCTTCAGTAAAAATGGATTGTTAAAAGTCATTGCTTGGTGTTTTTAGTTGGTGGAATTTGAGAACTGTAACAGTATTTTTAATTTGTAGAATTGTCCGCAGGATTGCAGTTTTTGTTTTGTTTTATTTTGACAGTCTTTTACTGAAGCATGTTACTGGGATCTGACCTGTTCTTTATCCTCCTCAGAACGTCGGATGTTGTATAAATTCACTACGGCACTAAACTAATTGATATGTTTGTGTGTTTCCACTGGGTACTCCTTAGACATCCGACATTGTGTCTCACCGAAAGACAGCAGCACTGAGAGGCCTGCCCATTTTTGTCCGAGATGACACAACCAAGTTTCTTCTGGAGTGTTTGGTAAGTAATACTAACTGTAGGAAATAAACTTACAAAATACAATTAATATTGCTTAATGTAGCTTAAACATGTTATGACCTCATAGCTTATGCTAATCATTTTATGCACAATACACTTTGTGTAAGATTTAATTTTGTGCCCAGAGATGCCGTGCTGTTGAGTTGCAATTATAACTTCCACAAGCTGAATGGTAAGACTCAGTAGCTTGGTGCTAAAGTTAGAATCAGTGGATATGTATTTTGTCGTTTAGTTTTCCATAGCACTCATTCATGCATATTTTACTTTTCCTCAGGACACTGACCATGAAGAACACTTGCTCAGAGGTGTGTCTGAGGCCATCCTCACCGTCATTGAAGATGATGATGACGCCATATCGCCAAATGTGCGAGACGTGGCTGTTGTGTTGGAAGGGACCATTGTACTGCATGACCTACCAGACCTCTCTACTGCCTTTGCATACCTCTTTGGCCTACTTTATGCAATGAACATGGATTTTCCAAAGGAGATGAGGTATACCTTTGAAGCCATTCAGACTATCTTTTAAGAGCTTGGCTCTCGACGCTCGCAGCGCATAAGGTCTCGGAAAACAAAGCTTTTGCTGTGAATGTTAATGGGGAAGCCAGACATGACTTTAACCTATGTTTCACCTGTTCTAGTGCATTGTGGTTAGTGCTCATGTAAAACCTCACAGCATTCATTTCATTTTAAGCATATAAGTTATCTTCTGAAATAGAGAATCAAAGAATGTGTGGATGTGTAAGTTGCCATTTCAAAAGAGGGGCATATCCAGTATTTCTACTGTTCAAGTTCATTGTTAGTGATCAGGTAAAACTTCAATGTATGTACTTGCACATGCAGTCGTTTTAAACATGAAGTCCCATTTGCCTGTGAAATTGAAATGTGTGGAATTGTGAGTTGCCAGTTGACAAGAGGCACTGGATTGTAATTGTTATATTTGTTTATTCTTAAATTCTTTGATTGTGATGTGCTGAAGAGGCTGAGGCCTGATATATCACAATGATGCCAGGTGTGTGAATCCTATTTTGACCTGATGGATAAAAGCAGAAGCAGAAACGATCCTCAGAATCTGTGTTCAAAGGCCATCATCATTTTCTGTTTAAAGCAGCTTTGCTAGATGTTTATTATGTCAAGAAATGTCCTTAACTTGTGTTATGTTGCAAAACGTGCATTTTTTCAAATCCATATATTCAGCATGTGAAGAATGCATGTTATCAACGTCTAGCAAAGCTGCTTTAAACAGAACATGATGATAGCATGGGGTCTGCGAGACAGCGAGACACAGAGGAACTCAGCCTGAGCACACACACACAGCCAGGCTGGGCTGGGCGAGTCGGCTGACAGCTTCCATACAGCGCTGCATTGCCTGGCAGCATAGACAGATCTTTTCTGTGTTAGAGTTTTACTCGCTACAGGGTGTACTTTGAGGGTTTGTGACTCTGCAGACCGTTTACAAGCAGAAAAAGCTGCATAACACACAAGGGGATGGGTAATAACCAGAAAAGCATATGATAAGACCTTTAAAAGAGAGAATGTTTTGTGAATGTTTTGTGTGCTAAAGTGGACAAAAAATTTACAAAATGTTCATATAATTGAATTAAATCGTAATAATCAACTGAATAAATAATGGCTCTTTTTTTGTTAGTTCATTTTCAATGTCTGACATCAATGTTGATTGAAATCTTCAGCGTGACAATATCTCAATGTTGATTCAAAGACTTTTTGCTATCTGATAATAACATTGTTTCAATGTATAATGCAACGCATAATATAGTTGAATCAATGTTGTTGCAATTCTACATTCTTTCAATGTTGATCATATCGTAATTGAATCAAGGTTGATTCATTGTTGGGATTGATTGAAAATTCAATGTTCTTTCAATGCTGATCATAGCGAGCACTTTCAATGTTAATTTCAATGTCTGACATCAATGTTGATCACAATCTTCAGCGTGACAATATCTCAATGTTGATTCAATGACTTTTTGCTATCTGGGGGGTTTATGTAGCGAGCAAATACAATGGCGGCTCTACAAAACATTTCAGAGTTTTACGGGGTGTGGTTTGCAATACGCCCAGCCAATCAGAACTGGGGCACTTTTTTCCCCCAGGAAAGTACGATCTCTCAGCAGGCACTAAAAATGGGGGTAAAAGTTCCCGAGATTAAGTGTTCTTTTTGGTGTGAACGCGACATAACTAACGGAACTAAACGCGAAAAGTACGGTGAAAAGTACTGAACGCGGCTAATGAAACCAGCTGCAATGGATCATGGATCCACCAGGGGGTGGCAGTGATTAAAAAGCTGCCACAGTGGAACTCTTGTGAAATAAAAAAGAAACAGCTGATAGATCTACAGTAGAGGTACTGCACGTTGTTTCTGACTGTCTCTGTCTGTATTGTATTCAAATCAAATCAAATCAAATCAGGCTTTATTTATAAAGCACATTTAAAAGCGATTTTTGGTCGAGCCAAAGTGCTGTACATGTAATAAAAACACATTACTACAAAACACAATAAACGACAATAAATTACAACAGATATATCTTAAAAAAACAAAATAAGAATAAAACACACGGAAAAGTCAGGAGTCGTGCTCCGCTCTAACTAGAAAGCCAGAGAGAAGAAATGTGTTTTTAGTTTTGATTTAAAAACCCCTAGGGTCTGGGTCGACCTCACATGGAGGGGCAGAGTGTTCCAGAGCCTAGGGCCAGCTGCTGCAAAGGCTCGGTGCCCTCGGGTTTTGAGCCTGGTCTTGGGCACTACCAGCAGCAGCTGGTCAGCAGACCTTAAAGCTCTGGCTGGGGTGTAGCGCTGGAGCAGTTCAGTTATATAGGCCGGAGCCAGCCCATTTAGGGCTTTAAAAACAAATAAAAGGATTTTAAAATCAATTCTGAACCGAACTGGAAGCCAGTGTAGTGAGGCCAGAATAGGGGTGATGTGGTCGCGCTTTTTGTGACCAGTCAGCAAACGTGCAGCAGCGTTTTGGACTAGCTGTAAGCGTTTGATTGAGGCCTGGTCCATACCCACATACAGAGCGTTACAATAGTCCAGTCTCGAGGTTACAAAGGCGTTAATAACCCTTTCTAAGTCTTTAAAAGATAAATACGACTTGGTTTTGGCCAATAGTCTTATTTTAAAAAAGCAGGATTTTACTACGGTGCTGACCTGCTTGTCGAATTTAAAAGTGCTGGTGAAGGTCACTCCAAGGTTCATGACCGAGGGGAGGATGTTTTTTTTGATAGAGCCCAGAATATCAACCGGAGAGGCTGGAGGTTGCGGTCCAAAAAAGATGACCTCGGTCTTGCTCTCGTTGAGGTTGAGGAAGTTTTTGCTCAGCCATTCACATGTTCCATGCAGTTACTTTACATAAAACATAGGCTTAGATTAAATATACCAGAGAGCTGTTGCAGAACAGAAAGCTACAGTTGAACATTGAACTTAACTTAATACCAGGCATGGTCCTCGCCACAACTATGAGGTCATGAATGACGGAGAATCTCACACCAATCACAGCTCTTTCAGGTAATGATAACCAGTATGTGAGAGCTACAACAATCACACAACAGAAGCTGGTGTAATGAGTCCCACATCCAAAACAGTTCAATAAGAAAGCTATAGTTTGTTGTTTATAACGAAACAGAAGTCACACTACAATGTACTATTTTACTAGTTAAACCCAACACACTTTACAATAAATAATGTGGTAGACTATGAATGGTCTAATGAATGTATTTCTTTACTGTGTCCACATGATGTCGCTGTGCAGCTTACAAGCTGTTGAAGATAAATAAAGACTGGCCAAAGATCCAATTTTAGGGATCAGGCAATTTCCAATCAGTTTTGTAATCCTCTGCAAATAAAGACAGTCACTTTCCACTTCCCCTTAAACTTTTAGCAAAATAGAAGATCTAGGTTTACTACTACTACAGGATGTGAGATTGATCAACTTGATTTCCATTTGTAGTCATACAGTAAGAGGAATGAATCCATGGATAGCTTCAAGAAGGAAAGGTGAACATTATTGGCAAATTATAACATATATCTAAGTAATGATGTTTGATTACGGTAAATGGACAGTAAGAGTGTAAGCATTAGGGTGAGTTTGTGTAAGAACATAATGCATATTCTAAAAAAAATAGAATTATTGATTTAGACTACATTTAGCCAAAACAGAAGCAGCCCTTCTCCTGGAGGGAAGCCTGCAGAACGTTTTAAAAAATATGCCTCAGCGACAATGGAGACAAAATGATAGTGTGTAGCTGTGTAATCGATTCAAAAGAAGGAAAGCCATCATTAATAATTCACTGAGGAGTTTTCATCACCTGACTCCCAGGAGCCTGCTGTGCATGGTGACAGCTCTCCGCACATGCGCAGTAGCTGTCCCACTGCTGCAAACTTATTTAGTTTCACAGCCAAAGCAGAAATAAAGAAGAAAAGAGAAGAACAAATATCCTCGCTTTCGCATTTATGTCTTAAAAATGCTACCCGACTTTTGCAACTGATACTTTGTCACATTATGTTTATCTTCTCTCATCACCCTAACCTGTTGTTACCTTCCCCTGCAAAGGTAAGTGGCATCCCATCACGTTGTTAGCTAGCTAACGTGGGCTAACAGGTGAATGCGTGCTAACTTCCAAAATTAAACAGAAAAACAATAAGAGTATTCCGTTCACCGCAAAGAAAGCATTTAGTAAAATCATGATATAATTGTTAAAGTGTATCTTATCTCACCGTGACCACAAGGCGTCAGGCTTAAGCAATTTTAAGCAATTCAGTGTGGGTAAATGTTGGGTCATTAAGTCATTTTCGACTTAATCAGTGTACTTTATATTTTTTAGGAATAGGCGTACATACCTGTTTCAGCAGGTTCTCTGAGTGTCAAACATTGAGTAAAGCTTTGGTGGATTGAAATTCCCAAGCGAAATGATAATGAAGACATCTTGACCACCTGCAGTGGGGGAGGGGGGGTGATTATTTTTGGAGAGGCGAAGTCCCTCCCCTTCCGGGGACCTCCATGGGACCTTATTTCGGAAAAAGTATGTATTAATAGTCAATGGGGAGAGAAAACTTATCTTTCGATCCCGTTTGAATTGTGCCATGAATTACACATATGATGTTTGTCAATCTTAAAAAAAAGATTTCATGTAAAAAAAGTCACAGGTTGTCGTAAAACTGTTGAAATATAAGACTATGAAAAATACGCAACTAGAAAGACTATAAATCCCAGAATCCCGGTCCCGCATGCTGGCTCTTACGGAACCGACTAACTCCCCTTTTGTGTATGTACAGCTCTCAACATGCCCAGACTTGTAGTGATTTTCACCTCTTTTAATACTTTTCGCCTCATTCTGAAAGAAAGTGAAATGTGCCAACGTGACGGCCGTCTTGGTGTGTGGTGCGAGACGGGAGATGTAGTTCATTGAGCGGTTTCACACAAAAAAAGTGTTACTTCACAGTTTTACGACACATTTTTATTTTTTTGACTTCCAAAATTATCTTTTAAATTGACAAACATCATATGTGTAATTCGTGGCACAATTCAAACGGGATCGAAAGATAATCTTTCTCTCGCCATTGCCTTCAATACATACCTTTTCCGAAATAAGGCCCATGGAGCTCCCCCGGAAAGGGAGGGACTTCGCCTCTCTATTCCGCAAGACCGGAAACGGTCTGTCATGGACTCAACCAATTCTGACGGAGGGAGAGACACTATGGATGCGCTCGTGAACTGTCAACGGGGGGGGGGGGGGGGGTACAGGGGGGGTACACTGTGGACCTCTGTGGGCCTCTGTCGACTGTCAGCGCAATTTGTGGGACGCGGGACAAATGATAAAAATGCTGTGTGTGCAGTCCCGCACAAAGCGGGACACCAGAGGCCTGTACTACGAAGCCGGATTTTTGCTTAGCGAGCTAACTTCAGGGAAAACTCTGGGTTTCCGGTCCTACGATGCTGGTTCACTTCTTAGCGGGCTAGATCTCCATGGTAACTTATGCTGAACGGCTAGCCTGGTCCGGAGCAGGTTAGGTTCCAGGATAAGAGATCAACTCAGTGAAAGCACCGCCTGTTGACCAATCAGAGCTCAGTGTGCGGAGTTTAAAGCGATAAAGTCATATTACAGGAGAAAGGAAATACAGTTTAGACTGCCGTTGCAGGAAAAACGGCCGGCAAAAATCACCGACTGTGTGAACGTGAAAATGAATAGAATATCACCTCCCATCTTCAGAGCAATCTGACTATTATAACATTAGCGTTAAGAAAGCTTACTTAAATATCTGCCACAACATAAGTAACCGGATCAAAGTAACATTACGTACAGTCCGCGGCACTGTGAGTGCAGACGTCGATGTGTCCCATTATAATAATTCCTTACATTTATTATAGCGCCAGATGCTCAAAGCGCTTTACAAATACACATTACACACATATCATATATGTAACGGTCATGTACTGTGGACATTATCATTCATATCACATCATATCACATCATAATGTATCATATATTTCCTTATCTGAGTCAGCTTCTTGAGCCGTATCTGGCCGTGCAACACTTACAGTGTCACATACTGTATGCAGAAGTATTATTTTAAGCAACACATTAAGTTGACGAAACACTCGAGTCAAATGTAATTAAAGTCAGATCCACTCGTGTCTTAGATGGGTCAGTGATATCATAAACCTGTTAATGTACGCATTCAAACACTTTTTCTTTTACCAGCTGTATTCACCCATCTTCATATTTGTCTAATTATAGTTTACTTTTCATTCAGGAAGTATGATGCGCTGCGCTGTCAGTACGCTTGTCCATGTTTGTGATTGGTCGAATGTTCCAAATACCACCCCTTTCATGTGAACACGCACCTAACTAGATAGGGCAAAGCTGGCTTGAGTTAACGAGTTGATAACCAGCGTCGTAGGACAGTTTAGCGAGAGCGCGTTTGTTTTGGATTAGGTAAGCCGGGTAACTAAACATATCCAGGTTAGGTTGAACCAGGTTCGTAGTACAGGCCTCTGGTCACCGACCCTACACACACACACACGGTGATGCCCCTCACACACACACGCTTCAAATGAAGTTGCATAAATGCTTGAGCTACGTTTTTATTATAATTACTGTGAAATTGAAATGTATTATGTTTTCGTCATTATTACAACAAATACACACTTGCAACTGATAACAATGATTTTATATTTATTAGACTTAAAAAAAAATCATCCTTCAAAACATGTGACATTAAAGGTCCCATGTCGTGGCCATTTCTACTGAGCATAATTCCATTGTTGAGGTCTACTAGAATAGATTTATATTGTGCAATTTTCCAAACTCACATTGGTTTCTCATACAGCATCTCTGTATAGTATGTGTATTCACTCTCTGTCCTACACGGCTTGTTGGAGCTCCTGTCCCCCCCCTCCCTGTGAGCCCACTGTGCTCTGATTGGTCAGCTCGCCCACTCTGTTCTGATGAGTCCACCACCGTTACAGCGGAACATCAGTGATTATGTGTTACAATGGCGTTAGCAACCAGAAAATGACACCAGTAATGACAAACAGATGAGAATGCTGCGTGGCGTCTGGGTGCCGTGTTGGCGAGACGTTGCGTGGCTCGCTGCTGCGAGGAGCGGACAGTGTGAGCTGGGTTCATTTCCTGCTTGCCGCGTGGGTTCTGCGAGACAGCGAGACATCGCGAATGGACGCGGGAAGGGGGTGGGGTGCTGAGGGGGCTGCAGCACCCCCATCTGCGAGGCTCCACTAGCACCCGCACCCCCCCACCCGAACCCCCAAACGCGGCGCACCTACAGTGTAAGCGCGCCACAGTTTCGCTGCTGTAACGGCCCGTCCACACAGCAGCGTGCATTGAAGCTTGCCGGCGGGGGGGGGCTGAAACTCGACCAATCACATGAATCTCCCGCCCCGGACACACGGTGTGATTGGCTAGAGCTTGTAGTGGCATATGATTCTGTTGGCTGACGCTTCCGCCGAAGCTTCAAAAGTTGAACATTGCTCAACTTTTGCAGCGAGCAACGCTTTTGAAGCTACGCTTCGCTCCCACAATGCAGTTTGGCGAAACGTGACGTCACCCCATTCAAAGTGAATGGGCAGAAGCGTTGAAGCTTCAACGCATGCCGCTGTGTGGACGGGCCGTGAGGCTCCACTAGCACCCGGAAAAAGCATGACATGGGACCTTTAAGGTTTTTGCAGTCAAACTTCGTGAGGTCTTTGTTATTTCTGCTTGTTTTGGCCGGGACACACTTATTTTTGTTTCTAGTTATTCACAAGACAAAGAAAAGATTGGTTTGAAAAGAATACAGTACCTATTTGCTAAACCCTATTTCGCACTACACTATTTGATTTTAAGTTACTGCATACCAGTGAATGTAACCCAGGTGTGTTTTTATCTTAATTTAAGTTAAGTACTTAATGAGATTTTAGGTTAGTAAATTAATGATGTAATGAGAATTTGGACTCCGAAAGCCTTAAAATATACTTAATGTATTTATTTTTGTGTCTTTCTTTATCTTTCTCATCCACTCATACCTCATCCGTTTGTTCCATGTTCTGTTTTTCCAAGCATTTCTTCTGTCTCTTTAGCTGCAAACTTCAATCTGCTTCCCTACAATGAGTTTTCCCAAGTCACTCTATAACATGAGAGCAGCAGAAATAGTACTTTCGGTCACTGTGGCTGCATCCAAAGAGAGCTTGTTAAACATATTGGATGTATTGCCTGAGGCTTGATGTCATGTGTTCATTCAGGCTTCAGATTAAAATGCCAGTGTGGAGACAGCCTGATTTCCATGTGAAGTGGGAATTTATTTACTGACACATAATATGCATATTCTTAACGTTATATGTCAGTGTTCATGTTTAATTGAAGAAGACTGGTACTGATAACCGGATGAAAAAGCAGGAAGTGAAACCATAGTGATGTTGACAGCAGTGTATTCTAAGATAATTGTATACATTCTTTATATACAGTGACATTCTAGCTCTATTTTTTTTATATTTTATGTTGAATCGTAATGCTTTTGCTGCTGGAACAACCTAATTTATATTTGCCTATCTCATGGTATCTTATTTTCAAAACTACTGTACCTTACTATTCATATTTTGACCGGCATATGTAACTGACTTACTATAAAGGTAATACAAATGTGTACCTTACAAGACACTGACAGGCCTACAGACTATGTGCATTAGTAGCTCTCTTTAAAACCTCAATGTGCTGAGAACTGAAGGTACTGCTTACTGATGAGAAAATGATATGGCATTGTAATGCGGTGAGTCACTGTTGTGCACCAAGGCTTAGCCCTTGTCTCACTGTACTTTTTGCAGAATTAACTATAATGTGTCATGGCCTGGTATTGTATTTCCTATATGTAAGCATTGTAATGGAAGCTGTTATTGACTGCTGGACTCAGGCTGGGAGAGACAGACAGATTGAATGAGGGAAGCAGTAGGACAATACATGTACAGGAAAAGCTAATTATCAAGAAATGAAGCATGCTTAACCTGCTTATTTTGTTTTATACAGATTTATTCAAATTCCAAGCTGGATATAAAAGGATCCCTTCATTTCTGATACTTTGTGAATCACACAAATGGCTCAAGGCAGTTACATTTGGAGAAATGTGTCAGGTAACTATTATTATTAATTTCAAAATAGAATGATTTCTAATGGTCTATGTGAATTTCCTAAGTTTTATGTTATTCGTAATGCACACAACAAATTATTCCTATTATTGAATGAGTTGTATTGGAATTTAAAAATCAAAAAGACACTTTAACACATAGTCCTCTCAACTAGAAAGAAAAAAGATTGTATTGTATATGCATCTTTACCTGTTTCAAGTGCAAAGGATTTCTGTTCATTTTTGTATGTTTACTTGCTGAAATATTTGGAAGATGTCTGTGGTTGAGAAAACCTGCCAAGAGTCTGGTCAGGCTTTTTGAGGGAGAGTTGAATTGTAATTATAGAGCGGGTTCAGTCTATGTAGAGAGACATACCATTTAGAGAGAAATGACTACTGAAAACAGAGCGTCTACAAAATTAGAAGTTCCTCCTCTGTCCCTCCTCTTCTTGTGGGACAGGCTCAGAGAGTTTATATTCAAAAACATCTCGAGGTGATAGAAGGAAGGCTTTAGACTCGCTCGATGGTTGCTTTTGAAAATATAATACTGAGGTAAGTAAAGAAAAAGAAACTAAGGGGAGAAGTATATAGCATTAAGCTTTTTAAATAGTAAGTGTATTTTTAATAAAACGTTGTGTTTCCCAGTATTGGGAGTTAAAACAATTACCAACTTTATTATAAGTAGTTTTCCAGTTGTAAATGCATTGTCTATTTTAAAACTTACTTTAAAAGAAACTAAAGACACAAAGCAGGAAATGTTTTTAACTTATTTTTAAATCACAGGTCAAAGCACTGAAGAGTGTGCTCCTAACTGCCTGGGCATTGACTACAGTTATCATCCAGACTTGGACTACATCAAGTGTGTGGACCATTTCCAAAACAACGCCAACATTAAGCGGCTAAGCCTTAAAAGGAGGCCAAAAGTGGCCATCAACAATGCAGAAAAATCATCCAGCGCTTCATCCAGCCAGTGGTATTCTGCAGAAGCATTGTCATCATCTAGCAGTGATGATACAAGACTACTGGGCATGTCATCTACAACCAGCCGTCGACCTCCTCTTCCTCCACCACATGGTTCCTCATTGGATAACAAACCCTCACGGGGTCAAGGACCCACTACCTCTCAGGTAGAGTCAAAGCCTCAGCCGGCTGCAAGATCTTTTCCTTCACAAAAACAAAGCCCTGTGGTGGGAGATACCATTATGGAAACCTTAAACCACTTGGAACAGGAGGTTAAGACACAGCTTCCACCTCAGCCCCAACCCCGTCGACGACTGGCCAGCTTTGGAGGGGTAAGCTCCCATGGGTCTCTCTCCCCCTTCACTGGCCTGGGTGCATATAACCTGAACATCAATGGGAACAAGCCTACTAGCACAGGAGATGATATGCATGTCCACCTTAGCTCGTCCTTAGGCAGTAGAGGCAGCACAGGATGCCTAAGACAGAGTCCACAGAGCTCTGGCAGAACCACACCAGCGACAGGTCTCGGCCCCATGCACCTGCAGCATGTTCGTGACCAGATGGTGGTAGCTCTGCAGAGGCTGAAGGAGCTGGAGGAGCAGGTGACAATCATCCCTATCCTCCAGGTAAACATCTCAGTCCTCCAGGAGGAGAAGAGGCAACTGGTCTCTCAGCTCAAGAACCAAGGTGACAACGAGGACGTCAATTGTGTGATATGGAAGAGAGCCGATAGCATGGAAAGGTCTGACATTAAGACCACGATTAATACAGAGGAAGAACTTGAGGAATTATTGAGAAATGACCACACCAATTTTAAGGAGTTCAGGCAATTGAATGAAGAGATGCAGGCATTGGAAAGAACCATCAAGGGCAAACATTTGCAAACAATGCATGGAAAAGGCCAAAGCTCTCTACATGACAATGCTATCAAGTCAGTCGCAGCTGTAACTGATAATGATATAGATATCACCCTGTCTAAACCAACTAAAGAAAACAAATATGTGAACACTGATCAGGTACAGACGAGGTCAATTGCAACAGAAGTGACCGAAGAGAATCTTGGACTATACACAGAACGGGAAGCAGAGATTGATGCCCAACAATTTTTAATTGGTGCCTTGAAGGAGAGAATTTGTTACTTGGAAGCAGAGTTGAAGGAATCAGCTCTCGAGACAGAGATGAGTCGTCTGAAACTGGAGCTTCATGCTGCAGGAGCAAGGAACCGAGCTGATAAAGCCTGCTCTGCAAGACCATGCACTGAGAGCAAAAGCATTGAGGCAAGGCCCCACACCACAAGCCAGGGTGTGGGAAATCACACAGAGCTCCAAGATGCCAGCACAGGGAAGGAAACAGAGGTGAAGACTGTGGGAGTATCTTGTTACGGGCCTGAGCTTAAGAGTGTTTGTACAGGACCAGATGAACCCATGAGCCACTGGGAGGTCAGGGAGCGGGTGGAGACCATGGAAAAGGGTGTGGGGATCCACATTTCTACAAACACACAGGGAGTTGGAAATGCGATAAAGTTATGTGATGCAGAAACCAACACTGAGATACTAGTGGAGAATCTGGGTTCTAAGAAAAAACAGATTAAGTATCGTTCAGTGGGTTGTGGGGACTGTTCTGTTGATGTGATAGTCAGTGAGGCAAAGGAAGTTGTGTCTCAAGGTATTTCCACAGATCAAGTCAGAGGAGTAGATCTGGGAGTCATGGCATCACCTCGGACAGCTTGTCAGCGTACCAACACAGAATCCAGTTCAGTGTCTCGCTTTACCAACACCAGCCATGCCTTTAACACGGACTCCAGCACTAATACTGTCTTAAGTACCCAAGACAAGCACACCAACACCACTCAGACTTTTACTAGGACAGTGTCAGTAGGCAACGGGGTCAAAGACATCAAATGTACCCCAGAGACCCGCACTATTGGTGTAGGAACTGAAAATATACAAGGAAGTGCCTTAAACCAAACAACAGGGACTGCCGCCAAGTTAACCCGAGACGCTGGTGTTGGATTTACAAACATTAATGATCATTTCCTGATTGGGCTGAAAACCCGGAATATGGCCTCTGGACCCTCTCATCTACCTGACCCCATTAAGACAAGGAGCATTGGTGTAGGGGAGGGGAGGATACAGGATCTGTCCGTCTCATGCAATGCACCTGGCCAGATGATCCAGAGATCTTCACAGTCTCAGTGGGGCCCCGAGCTGAACCATTACATAGAGAAGATGCAATGGCTTCTCAGGGAGAATGGGGACCTGCTGACTGATGGCCAACCTCAGAGGAGAGAAGGATTTGTCCCACAACCCAGTAGCCAAGGAAGTGCCAACTCCAAGCTGTCCTGCAATAACGAAACTGCAGCACAAGGAGAAACAGAAGTCCATCCATTAGGTCCTCAGCCATCAGGTAACATTGCAGATTTTTTTGCTAATGTATCTGACCAAAAAGCATTGTGCGTATCCTCCTCATTTAATCACATCGTACTGCCAACAGGTCAGTGAAATAGCATTAAACCAAGGCACATCATATAGCTTTCCAAACCTTTGAATTATTGTAATCCTGATCACGAAAGTCTATCACATCCTGTGTACCACCTGATTACAACAGTGTGGCACTACTGGCCAAAAACACCTTTAGTTACTTTGTTTCACTATTTTATAATAACATAAACATTTGTAATGTTTGTATCATTGTGCTGGAACTATTAAAATCAACCATCAACATTACACTTTTTCTCTGTTGCAGTCAGCGGAGAGTTTCAATGTCCATCTCCACTCTTAGATGACTCTTCCAAGTGGGACCAAGCAAACCCAGGATTCTGCCAACAGAGTGGCACTAATTCAGAGGTGAAAAGAATGATACAGATGTTGGAACAACAGGCATCCTCTAATCTGCAAGGTAAACATGCACATGTCTGTGTCTATGTGTTATAAAGGTAATCTACACATGAAGACAGTAAACATTGGTTGGGTAAGCATATGTCTGTGTGAAAGAAGCTCCCAAGGCCCACTCTAAACTTAATTTAGGTTTAGAGGAAGTGGCTGCCTTAGGCGCTGCGTGTTTACTTTTTGAGGTATACTCTTGTAATGTTTGGAATGATGTCTGGTTTTGGAGGGCGTCTCGTACCACATACCAGTCTGTGGCAGTGGGTCTAAAATTGAGTGACATCGTAGGAGCATCTGTTTATAGAGGAAACTTTCCCTTTTTAAAATGAGGCCTTCAGATTGGTAAGAAACTATTAAGCATGATGAATATATCCTAGGCCGGGGATATCTGCGTCTTTGGAGTACTTGATCAAATACAGTGCATATGACACAATACTAATTGTGGTGTATGTAAAGATTTCGATTGTTTCTAGACAGGTCATCTTATCCCGATGTGCGGTCTGTAATGAAGAAACAAAATGGCGACCAGGGTTGTAGCAGCACCAGGAAGAGCATGAAATTCATGAGGGTGACCACAGGGTAATCATCTAATGTCAAAACTGTTGAAGACATAAGTATAACAGCATATTTTATGTATTGACTCCCATGTTTTGCCCTTAGATTGGATCCCATGTCCTCTTACGAATGTTGTGCCAGTGAGCATGCAAACTCTGAGGAAGTGGAAAAGAGGGGAAACAAAAATTCAAGGGAAACCTCTCAAGATGGAACGCAAGGAAGGAAGGGCAAAGGTGGTTCCAACAAGGGGTCAAAAGGGACTCCAACACCACATTCACAGAGGTAATGATTTAAAGCCCAAAAATCTCAGTACAACAATATTGTTCAATATTGTGCACATGTCAGTCAAACCTTTAAGGGTTCTGCTCAGGTCTGAACTCACACTGTGTAACCTTTAGCCTTTATTCCTTTCAGGTGTAAGTTAAGTGAAAATATGTTTTCTGCTTGTCAAGCCTTGAAGATGCACCTGAGTGATGACCCACCATTATCCAGCAGAGAATTGGTATGTTTTGTTCAATATATTCAGCTTGTTGAAGGTCACTCTATGTGCATGTGTGTATGAATGTGTGTGCATGTTGAATTGAATGTCACTGCATGGCTGCGGAGATATGCTAAGGCAGGGTGTGTTCAAGCATACTATTTAAAAAAGAAATGGCTTTTGCATTGGATAGAAAAGGCACAGGTATGTGTCGGCTCTGTCATTTTCCATTTGTCTCGCGCTTGAAAGGAATGACATTTTTGAAAGGAGTAAAAGAGGCTCCTTGCTGCCAGGATAATTTGGTAAACAAATAGAGAGAATGAAGTTCAAAGTTATTTCTCTTACATTCTTGTAAGAAGAAGATTCTCCTTTATCGTCAAAGTACTTTAAATGATGGTGACTTTTATAGTAGCAAATAACACATTCATGTATTTGTTTGTCCTTTTGCAGCATGACTGTCTACAAACAATCGAGCAAGAGTGGTTTTCTGTATCCAGCCAAAAGTCAGCCACTCCTGACTCAATGGATGATTACTTGTCTGCATTTCGGGTCATTTCACCTTCAGTATTGCAACATATAGCTAACATGGCTGACGGCAATGGAAACACAGCTCTGCACTACAGTGTGTCCCACTCCCACTTTGCAATTGTCAAGAAATTGCTTGATGCAGGTACAGCAATGTAGAGGGTGTTATGTGTTCTTACAACATTGTGCATTAGTGCTCTGGTTCTGTGTATCTACAGTATGCTCCCTAATTAGGTTACATTGAGTGAATCAGTGAGTGCATCATATGGGGTTTTTTATACAACAAATGAGTCAAATAAGCTCTAATGTTCACAATAATGACTTAAAATAAGGAAATTGTTTGTATATCTTAATGCTATTGCCTATCCCAGGTGCACTCTTTTCAAACTCCAAAGGGTAATAAGGATAATAGATTTTTGCAAAAACAGGATGAAGGAAATACATTTGGCAGGCTGCTGCATAACCAGCGACAAAATATGTTCGGTTTTACCATTAAATCTGTTTTGAAAATAACAATATTTACGACAGATACGAAGATGTACTTTAGAAATCCACTTCTAATGGAGGGGATATAGCATTTTTACTTATTTTTTATCAACAAGCTTTTCTACATTTTTCAAAAGAGATTGATCCTTCCTCTGTATGGTTGAATGGGAGCATAACAATCAGCAAACTCAAACTAAACACTAACCCACTGTTACAAAATATACAATGTTATTTTTTAACCTTTCAAAAGCATGATTAGAGATTGTTATTATGTTGCATAAAATGAATACTCAAATGACCATGTACTTTGTATGATGGTAACAAAATAACTTGAATTGAACCTCTTCTGAAATTGTTAGTGAAGGTAGTTCTGTGCTTTACAGGATGCACTTCATGTGGCTCGTGTAGGCAAGTTCAAATGTAAACTATGTAGAGAGTGGGCACTTTGAGCAAGGCTAAAATATATGTGTAATGTTGTGGCTGTGCACTTGATGAGTGTGCATTCGATGTCAGAAGATACAATCTAAGTGTTTCAATTTTAAACTTTTTAGTCAATATAAAGGAAAGATTTTGCGAGTAAAGCAATAAATAAATAAAGTTTTCATCCTTACTTATTTTTGCTTTACTCCATGTTTTTTCTACTCTCGCCAATTGACCACCATGGCTGCAGAGGTGTGTAACGTTGATCACCAGAACAAAGCCGGGTACACGCCCATCATGCTGGCTGCACTCGCGGCTGTGGAGAGTCCAGAGGAACTGAGAGTTGTGGAGCAGCTCTTCACAAAAGGAGACGTCAATGCCAAGGCCAGCCAGGTCAGTGTGCTCTCAGGTAGTGGTAGGGGCTGTGGGGCCCTGCTGATTCACTCAATGGACCCTAATGCTGTTCTGGGTACTTCTGAAATAAAGAAACAGCATGTCGTTGACCCGTTAATAATATAAAATTGGATGTGTTTTACTTTTTTAGGTTGTTAGGGTTACTGCAAGTTTCAAAAAGTTAAGTTCAAGAGCAATCTTAGACATAATTAGTACCATGTTACAAAATCAAGGAAATTATATAAGATCAATTTTAGGAAATTGCAGAACCATGCAATAAAGCATTACAATATTTTTGGATGTGTGTATATCTTCAATTAGTGAAGAATGGAGAAAGTGTGAGCTCTATGGTTCCACCACCAAGCTGTGATTCCATATTTGAAATGTCTGACATGTGCCAACTCTGCATCATTAACACTGTTTCCTGTCTGACCCCATGATCTGTGTGCAGGCCGGTCAGACGGCTCTGATGCTGGCTGTGAGTCACGGCAGGACGGACATGGTGCGGGCTCTGCTGGACCGAGGGGCCGACGTCAACCTGCAGGATGACGAGGGCTCCACGGCGCTCATGTGCTCCAGCGAGCACGGACACGCCCACATCGTCAGACTTCTGCTGGCACAAGACCACTGTGATGCCACCCTGAATGACAGTGTATGTGAGTCAGTACCTCGCCTCCGGGCAGCCTCTAAAAATGTGGTGGCTTCAAGCTTTGAAACTAAGGGATTCCCACTTTGTGTTCAATTTCACATCCATGTAGTATTATAAAAGCAGAGTTAACATTCAATATATCAAGGAGACAAAGGCAAATCAATTGTATTTAATGGAATATGTACGAGGCTCAGGGGGAAGAATAGTTGTCTAACAACAGAATGGTTGGTGGTTCCATCACCATCCTCTGCAGGAGGAAGTGTTGAAGTGTTTTTCGGTAAGATACTGAAGCCCAAAAATGTGTCCTGTAAGCATGGCGTAGATCCAATCCAATCCAATCCAACTTCATTTATAAAGCACTTTAAAACCTCCAAACCAAAGTGCTGTACAGAGAGATACATAAAATATAAAATCACACAGCTCGGCTCACAAAACATAAAAATAAGTATAAAATCACATAAAAGATACGAAACACACAAACCAGAATAAACGTAACAATTACAAAATAAAAATAAAAACAAAAACATATAAACAACCATATAGTACAAACAATAGACCACTGAAAGCAAATAAAAGCAACAATCTACTTGGTTCCGAATGCTAAGGAGAAGAGGTGGGTTTTAAGACCGGATTTAAAAACAGACAAGGTTCAAGGTTCTTTATTGTCAATCTGACATAGCTACAGAGTAATTATGCAGTTGAAAATCTTATGTCACAGGCTTCTCCAACAATGCAACATAATAACATAACATAATAACAATAAGAGCATGAGCAATACAAAAATAATAATAGTTATAAAAATGAAATAAAGTTATGATGTGGAATAGTGCAGTATGAGTCTATATACAAGTTATTGGAATGATATATATATATTAGGTATTAGATACATACTACTGAGTAGCAGATGAATGTTTGATGTTGTTTCAACAGTTCAATTTTTTAACAGTCTCACTGCCCGCGGGAAGAAACTGTCTCCGAATCTTCTTGTCCTTGCCAGGATGCTGCGGTAACGTCTGCCAGACGGCAACAGAAAGAACAGTTTGTGGCTGGGGTGATGGGGGTCTTTGATAATCCGTAGTGATTTCTTCCTGAGCCGCTGGGAGTAAAGGTCCTCCATGGATGGCAGCTCCGTCCTGGTGATGTGCTGTGCAGTTTTCACCACCCTCTGTAAAGCCTTACGATCGAGGTCGGTGCAGCTGCCGTACCAGGCAGTCATGCTGCCAGTGAGGATACTCTCTATCGTGCACCTGTAGAAGTTGCAGAGTATCCTGGAATCCATTTTGAACCTCCTCAACCTGCGGAGGAAGAAGAGCCGCTGTCGAGCTTTCTTGGTGATGGTGGTGGTGTGAAGAGACCATGTCAGGTCCTCAGTGATGTGGACCCCAAGGAACCTGAAGCTTTTGACTCTCTCCACCGTAGTCCCATTGATGGCGATGGGGGCGTGTCCCTCTCCCTGCTGCTTCCTGTAATCCACAATCAGCTCCTTTGTTTTGCTGATGTTGAGATGGAGGTTGTTATCCTGGCACCAAGATGTCAGGTTTTCGACCTCCTCTCTGTACGCCGTCTCGTCATCGTCTGTGATCTGGCCGATGACGGTCGTGTCATCAACAAACTTCACGATGGTGTTGGAGCTGTGTGTGGCCACGCAATCGTGGGTGAACAGGACAGTGTGGGAGCCTGTCTGATTAGCAAGGGCAGGTCGTTCCACAGTTTAGGGGCGGCAGCAGAGAAAGCACGGTCCCCTCTGCGCTTAGACTTTGTTTTTGGCACCCTCAGGAGCAACTGATCAGCTGACCTGAGAGTGTGAGTGGGCGTGTAGCTGTGTAACAGCTCAGCGAGGTAGGGCGGGGCCAGGCCATTGAGGGCTTTAAAAGTAAATAGAAGAGTTTTAAACTGAATCCTCGAAAGAACGGGCAGCCAATGGAGTGAAGATAAAATGGGGGAAATGTGCTCGTGTTTGCGTGTGCCAGTTAGTAGCCGTGTTGCTGCATTTTGCACCATCTGCAGGCGAGCAAGGGAGGACGCACTTATCCCAATATATAGTGCATTACAATAATCCAAGCAGGAGGTGACGAAGGCATGGATTACTGTTGCAAAAAGGTCACTATTTATAAAAGGCTTTATTTTGGCTAGCTGCCTGAGGTGGAAGAAGCTGTTTCTAACTACTGCCTTGATCTGGCTGTCCAGCTTGAGTTCAGGGTCCATCTTTATCCCGAGATTTGTGATGGTAGGCCTGTAGGTCGCTTTGAGTTAAATGAAATGTGATGAAACTCATCTGTATTACCAAATAATAGGGCTGCAAAATAGATTGTACATTAAAACCATCAATGAGCAATATACAGCAGAGAACTCATTCATGTATTTGTGTTTTTACAGGATGACAGCACAGCCCTGTCCATTGCCCTGGAGGCGGGACATCATGACATAGCAGTGCTCCTTTATGCACATGCCAACTTCTCCAAAGGACAGACAGGGGTAAGTGGGTTCAAACTAACATTTAAACAAAGTATTTGTGAGTAGTTTCCCCTAAAACGTGTATTGTGTTTATATGTTTTAACAGGCAGCTGCTCGTCACAGCAGCAGGTCTCTGTCCTCCTCTGGTGGCAGAAACATCTTCGAATGAGCTGATGCCCCAAAGGCTGATGCTTTTGGATCTTATTTTTGAGGTGATTCAGTATCATAGCCTTCATAACAGTGGGGCAATTTGAACAGTGTCAGTATCTTACTCAAACTTTTCATTTAAATGACATTATGCTAGTTATTCTCTGAAATGTATTCAATGCATAGTATGTATTAACTCAGCAGGTAACGCATGGCAGAGTTAGTGTTAATCCATCTGAACAAGGGTTAATAATTAATGTTTGTATCCGGCAGTCATCTAATATTTACAATCAATTATTTCTTTAATCATTATAATTGTTATTTAGAAAATTATATTTTATTGTGATATTTTTTAATATATGTATGCAAAATAGTATTATAATATTATACAAAAACATATACAGTACCATCAAACTCATAGACATGTGAGAGTAAATATGCAAATGACTAAACATAGATAATAAATAGCTATAAATTGTTTCCATTTTGTCAATTAAGTAAAACAATTAGGGGGACTTTGGACATCCGTATTTTTTATTTTAGGCTATTGTGTTTTACGATTGAATTGTATTTAAGTTTATACTTTTGCTGTATCTGTACTGCTTCCATAGAATAATCATACAGCATGATATGTTGTAAAAACATGTTTTATTTTGTCATTTTAAAGGCGGTCTTGTTGGTGACATGTACTGTCAGGAATATTTTAACTTTTGGAAATGCAACTTTCTTGCTTGGATGAGAAGATAAATAAAAGTTGATAATAATAAAGGTTTCAGTGTTTGGGATGGACATTTATTTAATTTGCTGTTAATAACTTACTCAATTAGTTGGGGAAAGAATGCCTGTTGAACTTCACTGGGTCATGAACATCTCTTTCCCTCATTTTCACATCTGGCAGACACCAGTTCGATTTACTTTATTTATTTATTTTTGTAATCGTTTATTTGAACCGGGACAGTGCACATCGATAAACACTTTAAAACAAAACAATGCTTACTAGCGTAAATGAGCCGGATTTTAGCTTTAAGCTAATTTCCATCCGCAGTCCCCTCACATACAACATACAAGAATAATATACATGACATGCAGAAAGAGCATGAGGAGCATACAAGCATTTACCACATGGCAGTACAATGTAGCAGCTACGACATATAAAGTGCAAGAGGAGATACCCCTGTATAAAAGTGCATTTAGCGGTGATTACATGTCTGTTTGTTGCTCAACCATTCTTTGAGTTGACCTTTAAAACTATTGAGAGTGGGACAATCCCGTATCTCAGTTGGGAGGCTATTCCACAATGAGCTGCCTTTAATGGAGAGGACATTTTGTCCAAAAGTGGTCCGTCTGCGGTGGACCTCACAGTCTCCTCTGGTTTCTGACCTAGTGCAGAGTCCAGTGTGTTTTCTGTGGATGAATTCCCCTAAGAGGGGGGGGGGCCAGTCCATGTAAACATTTATAAATAAAGCACATACTTTTAAAAGACTTAAAATTGTCAAAACTCAAGAAATGGTGTTTCTCAAGGATGGTACAGTGGTGGTATGAATTTGGCTTTCTGTCAAACACCTTGATAGCTCTCTTGTACAGCTGTTCTATGGGTTTCAGGTTTGTGGCACAAGCAAACGACCAGTTTGTAAAACAGTATTCAATGTGGGATAGAATCATACAGTGGAGGTATGACTTTGCAGCATTGACAGTTTTGAAAGGTCTAATTTGTTTAAAATGTTGCAAGTTGAATTTAATGGTATTGGATACTTTCTTAATATGTTTCTTAAAAGTCAAGTTCGAGTCCATTATGACTCCAAGATACTTGAAGTGGGAGACTAGTTCTATTTCTGCTCCGTTTAAAAACACATTGGATCCTTCGATTTTGACTGGTCGTTTACTGAACATCATGCATACCTACCTCCCTGTTCTTTCTCTTAACACCTCCATTCGCCACTCGTTTCCTTTCACCTCCCTTGGTTCTAGTTGTTATGATCTTTTCATAAGGATAGGGCCTGACAATGCTTTAAACATATGTTCAGATGACCAATAGAAACGACTAGCTTATTCTTTACTGGCTTTGGCCTGATCAAAGAATGCTTGGCACTCTCCGTGTTCACACCTCCTCAAATTAAAACTGAATTTCAGTTTTTAATAAGCTATTAGGAATGAATAAAACATTCGGAATAACCTGCTCCCTGGTACTCCATAAGACCTAGCTAGAGAAGAGAGAGTTTGTACGGCCATGTTGGTATTAAATGTACAAACAAATTATATTCTGAATTATCCATGCACCACATGTCACTATTTAATTGTAATAGGAACACTGATAGAGGATAAATATGTAAACAGGTATAAATTAAATAACAATAAATTACAATAAATCATAAAATACTATAGCCCTTTTTTAAAGTGTGAATCTCTCTGTATTTATTCTAAAGAATATAGAAATCAATCATTAATACATTGTTGACATTAGTGGAGCATGCAGGACACAGTGGGTTGTATATCCATCCTTTCACTTTAGTTATTTACGACAAAAAAAAATGCATTTCCCTTATGCATAGGTTTTAAAGTTGGACGTGATAGGCAGGGGATGATGTCTGCATGATGTTGTCATTCCCTCTCGTTTCTGCCACCTTACTGAGAGCTTTTGCAAGTGTGACTGAGAGCACTTTCCAGCTACAGCAATAAAATACCATGATCAACTGTAGGAGGTCTACCATCAAAATGTGCCGTTGCCATGGCAACAGTCAGCGGTTTTGAGCAAGTGGTTATGGGAACCTAATGACATGATACCTCTCTTTGATCCTTGTTAGCTGACCCAGTCACTTTACATTAACACACTGAATAGAAACATCACACCTCATTAGAATAGAAGCAAAAATAACAATGATAAGGGCTACCTTCTTTTTCATTTTGTGAAACAAAAATATTAAATGTCAAATGAAACTGGCAAGCAATGAATATCCACTGTGTATATAAAAAACACAATAAAAAATAAGTGCTTTTTCAGTGTGTTTAGGTCTTCTGTTCACAAGAGCATACAGTATGTTGCATGTGTTTGACTTTGGCTGGCTTATGATTCATTTGCTGCCTTTGATTTATTATTTCAAGCCTGCAAGTGGTGCATATGTTAAGGTTCTTGCAGTTAAATGATGGTCTAATTCCTCTGCTTCACAACATGTGTCTCTTTAAGAAAATAAGACTCAATGCAACCTCTTTTCTTAGAGATTAAACCTGTAAATGATAGTCCAGCTTCTATTAAACTGCAGCTATCGTCTGCTCCAGCATACATATATGCCCTCTGAATCTCATGTGTCTTCTCCTCTAAGATAAAGTCACAAACCAAAGGGGACACATTTATATTGCACGCCCCATCTGCATTAATTTACCAAAACCCCATCAGCTCTCCATGGATGGAAGTGCTCTGCTGACGTCAGTGAGCGGCTCGACAACTCATTATCTTGTCAGCTGAAGCAGGCTAAACTGCATGTTATCCAACACGTGTGTCACTTCTGTCCGTTCAGATGCCTGTTTTTACTCGTCAATACTTCTACTAATACGATTATTTGTAAGCTACAGGACAAGCTTGTTTACCTTGACTGCCAGCTGCTGCCTCTTCAGCGGCTGATAGGAAAAGGAGTATTTCTGATATTTCCCCACAATCTCCACTTGTTATAATAGAACACATTAGACCTTGACCTTATTTTTGAATGTGAAAAGTATTCTTGCATACTGTAGTACACATTCAAATACAGAATGGTCGAGAAATAAAATGTTTTTCATGGTGACTGAAGGGAATAAATTCCATTTACATTTTTATCTAAGAATATAACAACACTGAATGCAATGTCCTTCATATTAATCTAATAAAGAAATACATGAGATTTAAAGTAACTTTTAAGAGAATTTGATAGAAAAAAATGCATTTTGTTATACAGACTTCTAGGAGGCTAAGAGTATGAAAAAGACTGTGCTAATATCAACCAAGACATCCAACAGTGAGTGCCTAAACTAGCTGTTGATTCAGAGGTGGTATATTTGTGGTTCTATTCTAAGGCCTTTCTTTGGAAAGCATGAATGTAATGTAAAAATACACCCTGCAGGGTTAAGAATGACAAAAGGCCTTGGCCAGCTGCTAGAAGAGGAATAGGACCCTTTACTGGTCCCCTAGAGGAAATTCAGTTCAGAACTTCACTGTGTGGCATGGTCTGTGCTGTTTTCCTGTGATGCGAATTCTGACATAGTTTGCTGTTTTGCTGCAGCATTTTGTGCACACGCTTGGAAAAAACAACAATTGATTCACAGAAACCAGATGTTTTTAATATCGGTCCAAACTAGAAAAGCATGGCTCTTTTGTTACAGCTCAGTAGATTAGTGTTATGGAGATATTTTCCCTTTGTGTCTTGGCACAGAAATGACATCTAATCTGAGTCCAATTGAATGCATTAGTCACCATGCCGGAATGCTCTGGCTGTATACAAACAAGGGAGACATCTTCAGTTAGACTTTGGGCTGGGGGGGCAGATGAGGGCATATGTAACATAAGGAAGCTGTGAAACTTAACAAGACATAAATTAGCACTTAATTTACATATTCTAAGGTTACAGTAAAATGCATATATGAATTAATAATGTTACGAATAAATGATTAATGGTGAATGCTCTTGATTTGGCAAATGAAGCCGCCCAGAATCAGAAGGTCTTTATGGTTTCGTAATCCAGAAGTAACCAATCGATTCACTGGTCAGCCTGTCTGTTTTAATCCAGATGTTGCACAGGCCAGACACACAGTCCGTAGAACTAGTTTTGTTTTATAGAAACTATCAAACGATGTTCTTTAAACCATCAGCTACATGTTAGATGTTCACAGAACAAGCAATTAGGACCAGAGGTGAAAAAAGTACTCAGATCTTGTACTTAAGTAAAAGTAGAAGTATCAGAGTGTAGGAATACTCTGTTTGAAGTAAAAGTCCTGTACACTGAACAAATTTCAAATTGACTTTAATAAAATGTCAACAGATTTAACATAACTGTATATACCTAATATATTTTGATTTAAACTTAATATTACTGCTTTCAACTAAACTAATACATTATGTGTAATTTGTTGACATAATACATTTAATTAAAGTCAACGTTTCAGTTTTTTCAGTGTATTATTCAAAATGTACTCAAGTAAGTACAAAAGTATTGAGATCATAGATTTGAATAATTATCTATAACTGAAAAGTAAATAAAAGGTAGTACACAGATTTAGTGGAGTAAAATATTTACCTCTGAATTGTAGAGGAGAATAAGTATAAAGTAGCATACAATTAAAATACTCGATTAAAGTACAGTACCTCAACATTCTAACAAGTACAGTAGTACTTAGTTACTTAACACCACTGCTTAGGACCATGCACCAGAGATAGTTTCAGACCAGTGGCCACCCAGGTGCGTTTTTGTCCAACCACACAACAAATGTAAACATTTATAAATAATAAAGAAAATGAAATAAAAAGATTGAGTGCAACTTCTTTTAAAAAGTAAGGATTTAGGGTGACATATTTTCTTTTGCAGCATTTGTTTTCGTGTTTGGTCATTACACAAATCACAAGGGGCTCTGACCCTGTGTTCCCTTGGCGATTACGCGCTCCAAAACGTGCACACCATGATCTAAGTGTGTCCTATGTGTCTGAAGGCTGGACTCATGTTCCTCAGATCCCTGCACTAGCTGACACGTTCCCACTGAAATGCAAAATTGAAAAAAAAAAAATGGAGCCGATAACTTTAACAGCAGGGTAGGAAGAGGGGAAAAAACCGTCTGGCATCAGTCGATATTAAAAACATGCAGAGGGAGACAAGCTCGGGGCCTTCCAGAGTCAGGAAAAAGACTTCGGAGAGCTGCAGACAGGAGATGGGTATGGCATTTCTATTTTCCCCCAGCCCATTGATTTGTATATGAAAACATAGCGCTTTTATTCTCCCCCCTTCTGGGCTCTGCTTCTGAGTGATCAGCTGATGAAGAGACTAGCAGCTCGCCGCTATGCTGGCTTGCTAATTCTCTCCCCAACAGCTGCAGCCGATCCTGGTAGCCAGCCTGCACATTGCACTCAGGTAAATATGCTCCTCCATGTCTTTCCTCTCAAGATTCAGCCAGGCTACATCGCATGGGAAAGAGAGGAAGAGATGGATGAAATGTGTGTTTGAATGTGTGTGTGTGTGTGTGTGCGCGCGCTCGCTTGGGAAAGGAGAGCGGGTGCGAGTTTATTCCTGTCTGTCTTTCTGTCTGTCTGTGTGTGAGTGAGAGCAGGGGGAGAGAGGGGGTGTGTAGGTGTGTGTTGTAACAGATGAGAGGGAATCTTTGCCAGATAAGTCTGGAAAGAGGCAGGCTTGTTATAGGAGATAGCATGGAGCAGCACATGCACACACACTGACAGCCTCACACACACACATGCACAGTCAATGAGGCGGCTCAGCTGTGTTACACATCTTTTAGGATTACCCTCCATCCCTCCAGTGTTCCTGTGAACGACTGCAGCCCCTCAGAGGGAGCAGCGGGGCTTTTAAAGCATTCATTTGAGCCGAGCGATGATGAACAGGATTTCTATTGTTACTCAATCCTCTGCCATGTATTTTTGGTCAGGATGTGCATCATGCGTTTTGTCACCATCAGTTCGATTGTTTGAAGCTGTTGTAATTATTATAGTTCTGTACAGTGCTGCTCCTCTGTGCAAAATACAATCTTCCAGCATGCTTTAATCTTTGTCCTTGAGAAAATGATTTCCTCCAAGTGCATGCTTTATTATAGGATGTAAATGCTGGTGTGCTTGTACTGTAGGAGGCTGTATGATTGATGCATCAATGTGCTGTTTGGATTGGACAGCATGCCTTCTCTAATTCCTCCTCCTCTGCTCTCCAGCCGGGCTGCTGCTGAGCTGCTGCATGCATACTCATGTTTCGGGTCTCTAATTACCTTTGTGAAAAATACAGTGGTTGCAGCAGATATTTTGAAAAGGAGTGATGAAATGGTTGAAAACAACTCGGCATGCAGCAGACATCAAAAGGCACACCGAACATTTTGTTTCTATTTCATATTTTGATATTTTGTGAAGAACCAGGAAAAATGTTATTTATTTACTGCATTTTTACTATTTGTGGTGACATAACATGGCTCCTTATAATGTATTCACATCTGATGTGCATAAAAGAAAATACTGCCTTCCCTCGATAATCATCTGACATCAAAGCCTCCAGATAAAATAATCTGTCCTACATTTGCAGAGACAGCACAGCAGTTGGGTCGCCCCAGTCCATGCACATTTGTGTGCTATTGTGTTAAATAAATTAAACGCTCTTTAATTTGAATACAAATTCACTTCTGGATGCTTGAACTCCAGTACTGCTTATTTGCCGGAGAATGTTAGCTATGCCTCCTCAGTCGATTTGTTGACTAGTTGGTTTTTGTCTTAGTTGCTCGACATTTCTTGAGTTGATATGTTTTTTTTATATGCTGAATAACTTTACGAGTATGTCTCTGGTTAACTTGAGATTAATGTAATTGTGGAGAAACTCAGTTGTACAGATGTGTTCAAGTCAACAAAATGGTATAAGGGACTTAAATTCTATAGATTGCTGTCTAAAGTGCTTCAGTCTTTCTAAAAGATCAATTTCTTTTCAAAACATAAATACAGTGTTTAGCAGTTTCTGAGCATCCCAACTGTCACATGAAAATCACAGGTAGAGTTAAACTGAATGGGAATGGTACAGCTTTGAATGGAAATCAATCACAATTCTCCCTTTTCATCTTTTCATTGTTCATGTAATGTTAGGTGCAACCTGATTAACAAACGGAGCACATATAGGCTTTGTGTGTACAACATAAACAGTAGCATTTGCCTTACTCTCCCGCTATAAGTTTGTCTGAGTGTGTTGGATGTGGCTTCCTCTCCCTGCAGCCTGAGGCAGCAGAGAACGGTTCCCTGGAGGCGATGGAAGAGGACATCAGTCTAAAGAAGCGTAAAAGTGATCATCATGGGGAGACAGACGTGCAGGCCGGGCAGGAAACAGGGGAAAAGGTCAAAAGGAAGCGAGGACGCCCACCTGCTGAGAAACTACCTCCGAACCCTCCTGAACTCACCAGAACTCTGAGCACTCTGGTAGACATGGTCATCAACTACAAGGACGGGTGAGGGCGCTCAGTTATTTACGGACTCTGTCATGACACTGTGATGCAACTACATGTAAGTCCAAACGCATCAACTGTCCCTGAAATCCTCAAACCCAGGGCCTGATCGTTTTGACCAGGTGTGAACACAACATCATGACCCATACATTCATTTATTCATTTCAATATAAACATGAATTTATTATTTATTCATCCCAAAATGCTAAAGAAAAGCTTCTGTTTTTTTATATTTACATATCTTTTTTAAATCAGATTTATTTTACTTGCCTGTAAGATGGACTATAGCAATAAGATGCAATAATTGCCATGAAACACTGTTAGGCCGCTTAAGGCAAAGTAGTGCTTTGAGCTAACCTTAGCAGGTTAGCATGCTAGCATTTGCTAATTCCATACATTTCAATCAAACACTGACAAGAGAATCAGATAAATGAAATGAAGTGAACTGTCACATTGTGCTTCCAGCTTGGGTCGACAGATCAGCAAAGGCTTTGTGCAGCTCCCCTCTAAGAAGGAGGTCCCAGAGTACTACGAGCTGATCCGGAAGCCCGTGGACTTCAGGAGGATCAGGGTAGGTGTCCCTGAACGCCTCACAACTCACACACAGACATCCCTGCTATCTTATCTTCTGACAGAAACTCACATAAAGGGAGATGAAACTCGAGCAGATATATAATGCATCAACAGACAGGTGTGTGCATGGCATATTCAAACACTTCTTCAGTAAATACTGATTGAGAGAATGATTTCAAAAGTTGTAAGGGATAGTGTGATGCCAATACATTCTGAATCGTGTTTCAATTTGAAGAAAAACTTTACAGTAGTTTGCACTGAAACTTTTATGAATTTATTATATTTCACATCTATATTAAATACCCATTGGGTTATCCAAATAGGTATCCTCTGAGTTAAAATATGAATACCAACATTACATTTTTAAATTGTAGGCTTGACTAAATTGTTGGATGGACCAAGAAACAAACCTTGCAACACTGAAAACAACTGTTCTGATCTTATCAATTATCTCTTGGTAAAAAACAATTTAAGCTACTTGCTTGAGGAAAATACCATCTCGTCAAATGCTTATTAAAGGCTTGATTGAACAGTTGAAGCTGAAAAGTGATTTCTTGTTTTGATGCCTCTGCCTCACAGGAACGTGTGCGTAATCACAAGTACAGAAGTGTGGTGGATTTGGAGAAGGACGTCTTCCTCCTGTGTCACAATGCTCAGACCTATAACCTGGAGGGGTCTCAGGTGATCCCAATAGAAACATTTTTATTTGAATGCAACACATTTATTTTTCTCAGTCTCCATTCTGTTATTATTCTAATAGATGGCTTTGGATCCTGTGAAGAACCACCCACGCTGTTTATGTGTGTCTCTGTTTACCACTGCAGATCTATGAGGATTCCATTGTCATTAAGTCTGTTTTCGAGAGTGCGAGACAGCGAATTGTCACAGACGAGGAACAGAAAGTGACGGTTAGCGCCAGTCACAGCGATAATGGCGGCGGAGCTGAAGACCAATTTGTTCCATCAGCAGGTTAGAGTTAAAAGACAATCATCAGGAGGGGTGCTTAGGTTTCTTAGAAGTGACTAAATGGAAGAAAACGAAAGATGAGGTCATTCATTTTCTGGTTAAAAAAGGGAATAATTGTAATTAATTCACGTTAAAAAAATACTGATCCTGTTTTTGTTTTTTGAACCAGTGAAACCATTTCCAGTCCAGCTGAAGAAGGGGAATAATCCAGTCCATCTGAAGAAGGGGAATAATCCAGTCCAGCTGAAGAAGGGGAATAAAGAGGAAAGACGCAGAAACGACATGGCCAAGAGGCTTCACAGTGATTTAGACAGCGATGAGGATCTAGAGGATAGCACCACAAAAGATGAAGGTTGAACTGAAAGACCCTCCATTTTTTTGTATTCTTGTTCATATTTATTCCCTACCACGTCCTTTTCATTGGTTTCTTCATTATCTGAGACAGAAAAGGAAATGATATAGCAGAAAGGACCACTCAAAGAGAGCCACTTATGGAACAATGCCACTCAACCATGTCTTGCTGCAAATAGTGCTGTTCTTTTCAGTTAGCTGGCCTTGTACTACACTTCCCCTTTGATCTGCCTTATGTCTCTGTGTTTGCTTCTGAAAATATTATGTAAGATACCCATTTTCTCTGACTGTTTTTAATCAATATATTTGATTGTATGAAATGCCTTCATATGTCTTGGAGCATGGTTTGTATATCTCTCCTGAAGAGGACTCCTGCAGAGTGGCACCGCTGATGACAATGCTGACGTGTTCAAGGCTTGGGAGTTGAAGCACATGGAAAGGTGTTTTTAAAGAAAAACAACAAAAAATGAACACTGTAAAATCTCTGAATGTGATTTTAGAGAAAATACATCTTTGATAAAATGTAAAAAAATGAAAGAGACTACAAATAGGTCTATTCAAGGGTACTCAAGTCGAACATTTGTATCCCTTGTGCTACAATTTATTCACATATTGTACAGTTTGTGTGAAAATTAAGTTAAAAGAAACAACGTTCATTTACTCCTGGTTGTTGGGGGAGGGGGGGGGATAGCGGAAGATACAATTGTTAAGACAATTCCTGGAAATATGTCACTTAAACATCTGCGAAATAAATTTGACCAAAAGCCCCTCTGGTTGGCTATCAATATCATTACTATTATTACATTTCCTTTTAGCTGAAGCTTTTATAAGTCTAGTCATTATAGCATTTGTGTATAATCAATCCAGCACAGGAAGTAGTGATAAAAGCATGAAAGAGACATGGTTAAAGGCTATTATTTAATCAAATACAGCATTCCACCTCCACATTAAAGCAGGATGTACAGGTAAGTATATTACCTATTGTGTGTGATGTGTTTTGACAATGGTCCAATAGGTGGTGCAAGAGAACTGTTTGGTTGTACCTGTATTTGTTCCATATTTTCCTTAAATACATTCATATTTAACAATTCAACCTTTTATTTCTGTATTTACCCATCCTCTGAACTTAATTTTCTATATGTTAGCTGCAGTAATTGACAAAAGTTCAATATTTTTTGTAGAGCATTTGCAGGTACAAAAAAGTCATACCTAACCCTAAACCAGAAAATGTGTGGCACAAATGATACACAAGTATCCCCCCTGTATCAGAACATTACCTAACCGGAACTAAATTGGCATAGCATGTTATTTTAATTTGATTATCACCCCCACTGATGGTATGACCATCTGTGTTCTACCCAGCCTGTTATTAAATGGTTCCATCTTTCTAATAACAGGAGGACTTTTCTCTACACTAATCCTGACATGGAGGAAAGACATGAACATCAATACATTTCATAAGCTGCTAGAACCCTTGCAAATTGTGCTCCAGCACTCGAATTGTTAATTCATGTTTAGTCGCTCTCATGACAGCGTGTTATTTCATGTCACAAGTGAAATCTCAATGCGTGCCCTACCACCCCTTAATGGTTTTTACCTCAAAACAACAACAATGAGCTGTAACTTGCATGTAAAATTGAAAACCTGTCTGCAGGTCAATTTATATGCGAAAAGGTGTGTAGCTGTACTGATAAGCAATTTAATACAAGTAATCCCACGCTTTCCTCCTTATTTTTATTTTCAATACAAGGAAAATTTAAAATCCTAATTCTTGAATTATTATTAGGGGATAGGGGTATATGCTTATCAGGGAAATCTAATTCAAACCGTAAGAACTGCCAATTTACACACCCAGCGGACACATTGGAGTCATCTTTCTGGCTCCAATGTTCACAGAGTAGAGGTGGCATGCAATCACCTTTTCTGAGCGTGTTTGTGAGCGGCGTCCCACAGTTTTACATTAACTCGCAGATTTTCAGCCACACCAAAAATCTGAAAATCTGCACAGAGCTGCGGTCTGAGCTGGTTCTCTGTGGGATTCTCAGTTAATGCCAACCTTTTACACTTCAGGGAGTGATTTCAGTCAGTGTTAATATCAGAAATATCCCTCACTGGAGCTTCAAACTGCTGTTGATTCAGTTGTTGCTAAGTTGCTGAGCCCATACTGTAGCTGTGGCGAATATTCGTACATTTTCCTCCCTATACTTACCTGCGATTTGTACTTTATTCTTCGGCAGTAATAATGAAAATGTGTGCTAATGCTGAAAAAGTGTTCTTGTGAATATTGTTATATGGGTATCAGTAATCGTTTTGAGAACCCCACATCCATTTGCAGTCAAATATCATAATATGCAGTCAAATATCAGTATGCAGGCACAGTGGAGGGCATCTGTAAACAAGGGTGAGTTGCAACATGGTGTGATTGCATTCAAATTCAGAGTCATTCTGCCTCTAGCATATGAATTCATTTCAGTGGTAGGATATGACTTTATCAAATACAATAAGCCATAGAGGCACAAGAACACAGTGATTTACAGCAGTATGTTTTTTTGTTGATTTATGTAGATATGATAGCGTGTCTGAACTCACAAAATGGCATTTTGTTAACATGAGAGGAGTTTGTCAAGCTTAAGACTACACTGAAAAAACTGAAACGTTGACTTTAATTAAATGTATTATGGCAAGATGTTCCACATAATTGTATTAGGTCAGTTGAAAGCAATACTATTACGTTTGAATAAAGAATATTTGGGTCAACTTAATATTAGTGCTTTCAACTATATCATAATACAAGTATGTGGAATCTGTTGACATAATGTATTTAATTAAAGTCAACGTTTTAGTTATTTCAGTGTAGGTGTGAATACAAGTCAAATATAATCAAGTATTCTGAATCTCACAAATTGCTTTTTCACCTAAAAGAAATTGCACTATTTTTCGCAGAACGTTCAGTGTGAAATAGTTAGAAAACCTTACAAAGATGGCAAGTAACTGCAGTGATCCCTTATCATCTAATGCTAGCATTGTAGAATGATCGAGGGTCGAGTATCTTTCACGACTCAGGTTTATTGTACAGTAAGTCAAGACATTACAGAAGGCAGCAACATGACAACTTGCTTACTCTCAAGTAAAGCAGTACTTCGCATGCCATAAAGCATGTCGCAACACTGCCGTAACAGCCTTAACTCAGTATGCATTGTATGCATATGTGACATCTCCCCTTTTTTCCTAGTTATATAATTTTAAATAACTGTAAAGAGTTTTGACCGATTAGTCACATCATCATCCTGTAATAGTAAACAACAGTCAAACTGTGATAACAAATGTTCATTCAGTCGTACTGACCAACCAAAAGTGTCCTATGAATACAGTTTAACTTCACAGATTATGTTAATCAAGATGGGTAACCAATACCTTCAGTAGTGCTGTAACAAAATAAAATTCAAGATGCAAGTTTTCTTTTCTAAACATTGCAGCAGTAATATCACATTTGTACATAACATTCACAATAAACAGAACTCAAAATTCAGCAGACTCAGAGTCCATCTGTGTTTCCCTATTCATTTTCTCCCCCCAAAGGCCATAGGTGTTTGTTTTTTTCTATTCACCCCCAGAGGTCATTGTGAAACACCCAAAACACTCCTGTCTACAAGTCCAACCTAGTGGCCGGCTTACTGACACGGCCAGACCTGGTCTGAACCCGTCCTGGTGTTGTTGTATGGGTTGTCACCTCACTTGGTTTCAGGGTAACAGTCTCTGGTGTGTTGGCGCTTACAGGCTGGGAAATCGCCACAGCACTCTCTGCTGGTGTTAGTGGGATGTGCTGTGCAGGTCGGGAAGTTGGTTCTGCCCGGAGATGAAGTCGGTTTCGCCGCAGCACTGCACCTCCATGTGTGTTAATGAGGTAAGACCTCGGAGTAACACACTCTTTTGAGACGATTGCTGGTGTCTTCCAGGACTTCTCGTTGTCGAGCTTGGTGTAGACTGTGTCTCCTGGCTGTAGAGCTGGTAGATGCCTGGCACCATGTCGTCGGTTGTAATAAAAGGCTTGTTTTGCTTTCTCACTCGTGTCCTTTTGTTTGACAATCTGTCTGTTAGGCCATTTAGGCCGTAGATTTTTCTCGAATGTCGGGAGCGTCGTTCTGATCTTTCTCCCCATTAGCAGTTCTGCTGGACTGACTCCTGTGGTAGTACAGGGAGTGGATCTATAGCACATAAGGGCTATCAGCGGATCTTCCTGACGAAGGATTCTCTTAGCGGTCTGTACTGCTCTTTCGGCATGACCGTTTCCTTGAGGATGGTGAGGACTAGACGTGATGTGTCTGAAGTCCAACCGCTGTGCCAGCTCCCGGAATTCTGCACTGGAGAATTGGGGACCATTGTCACTCACAACCTCTTCAGGAATTCCGAACCTAGCAAAGGTTGTTTAAGTCTCTGGATGACAAGGGCACTTGTCGTAGATGGTAGTTGTAGTATTTCCAGATACCGTGAATAGTAGTCTGAAATCACAAGGTAGTTGTGCTTGTTATGTTCGCAGAGGTCGAGAGCTATTCTTTTCCACGGACGATCAGGCAGTGGTGTGGAAATAAGCGGCTCCTTCTGTTGAGCCCGCTTCTGCTCCTGGCAGCTCTTGCATATGTTGACAATGTTCTTAATGTCTACAGAGAGCCCCGGCCACCAAACTGATGCATTCGCCCTTTCTCTGCATTTTGAGAGCCCCTGGTGTCCCTCATGTATTTTCTGCAAAATGTCTGCTCTCAGTGACCCCGGAACCACGATCCTGTTTCCTCGTATGACTAAGCCATCAGCTTCCGATAGCTCATTTTTCACTTTGGTGTAGTCCCTGATGTTCAGTGGAACATTACTACTGTATTCAGGCCATCCTGCCCTAATCAGCTTGATGACAGCCTGAAGCTCACTGTCGGCAGCTGTCTCTTTTCTGATATTCTCCATTCTCGTTGGGGATGCTGGAATGCCCTGTATCACTGTGGCTACATAGCATGCCACATCTTCTTGAGTATCAGTCTCTTCCTTTGTGTGTGTCAGTGGGCTTCGGGACAGTGTGTCGGCGACAACAAGGGTCTTCCCAGGCACATGCTCTGCTAAAGGTTTGAACCTCATGAGCCTCATTAGTAGACGCTGACATCTCAAGGGGACGTTGTCTAGGCTTTGTTTGTTGATCAGTGGCACTAATGGCTTGTGGTCGGTCTCCAGCCTGAACTGATCCAAGCCACATAGATACTTGTCGAACTTCTCACAGGCCCATACGCTAGCCAAGCACTCCTTTTCTATCTGGGCGTAGCGTGTCTCCGCTTCTGTGAGACGCCTCGAACAGTAGGCTACTGGCTTCCACTCCTCTTCATGGAGCTGGAGGAGGACCCCCCCCCAGGCCATAGCTACTGGCATCAGCAGACACCGCTGTGGCTTTAGCCACATCATAGAAGACAAGAACAGGTGCCGTGGTCAGCATCTTCTTAATGTTCTCAAAAGCTGACTGCTGTGAGTGACCCCAGGTCCAGATGTTCCTGCTCTTCAGAAGCTCGTACAGTGGTTGACCTATTGTGGAAAGGTTTGGAACGTACCTACCCAGGTAGTTCACCATGCCCAGGACTCTTTTCAGCTCATGGACGTTTCCTGCTGGAGCCAGCTGATGTATGGCTTCAACTTTATCAGGGTCAGGCCTGACTCCCAGAATGTCCCAGAAAGCGTAGCTGGCTTTGCCTGAGGGAGCATTTATCTTTATTGAGTTTTAAGCCTGCTGACTCAAC